AGGAATGTTTCAGTGCTCCCTGAGTCCATGTGCAGTGCATTGGCCTTTTCTTAGGGAAGCACGCTGTTACAGATTATGGGTGCATGGAGGTGGATCAAGAGAGCTGTCAGCATATTGACACAGGCCTTTATGTAGAACCAGTAGGACCTGCCAGTAATCGTACGAGTAGTGCTTGTCATGCAGTTTCTGAGTATGTGCCCATCGCGCTGGTGAAAAGAAGAAAAGTTGCATTTTGGGGAAAATAAGATGGGCTGAGCAGCATGCTCTAACACACCTAACCTGTTTGCAGGCTGGCTTCTCTCTTAAGCAGCCACAGCACTGCCAGTACTTGCTTTCCTAAACAGTAGCATTCATTCTGACTCCATAAGGTTAAAAACATCTTTCTCTCAATAGCTAATTTCAAAGGCAAAAGTGAAAACCCGTGACACATGAGGCTTAGGTTTAAGTGGAGTTGTGCTAACAGCCTATTTCTGCTGCCTTGTGACCTTAGCTTTCTGTTACATCAGCCAAGGTTAAAAAATTTGAACTTTTTCAAGGCACAAACATTTTACTTTCAGCATGTTTTTTAACATGTGAATCAAAAGCTGATGTTGACAGCATTTGTTCACAGGCAGAAATACATTGAAGCAAAGACAACAGAAATAATTTAGTCAAAATTCCACAAACGAAAAGCTTGTGATGTGATATCCTAATACAGTCGATTGCACCTACTTTTTAAGATCAGGTTATTCTCAGAGTATGTTACTAATAGCTGTCTATTTGTCAGTACCAGAGCTTTCATTTCTGTACTAAGAATATTTTGTACCAAATGGTGGTGTAGCATTCAGAGTCCTAAAGAAAGATCCAATTATTTAAGGCTCATAATGTAATCTATACTTTATGCAAGATGGTAAACTGAGAACAGTCATAAATTCTTACCATTTTCAACTTTGGATCTGTGGTTGTAGCTCTGGAAATAAACGTGAGACAGTTCTTAAGGGTGAAGTCTTCAGGAGTATCTGAACTTAGGAGCTGAAGTGCAGTGGGATGTAAGCACTAGAAGTTAACACAGGCACTGTTAAAATCCTGCCCTGTCAGCTTAATTTCAGCATTACTTTTCCTCGTTCTGTCCTTACTTCTAGTTAAGTATTTTATGCTTACCTCTGTTACGCATTTATTTTGTAAAGTGATGCTTTTTGTACAAAAGAGGAAGAATACAGAAATTTTAGACTTACAGAACTTTTCTTTCTCTTACTTCAGAACGATTGTTGTCCATGAATCTCAGAATAGTCAATAGTGTGGGTTCTGTGGGGATACTTTTATGAATTGAAATCAAACTCTAACAGAGTTTTGAATTTAACAATGACTTTTTTAACAGACGTGTTGCATGTGTAATAAATATGTTAATGCAGCTATAATGTCTGTCAGGAGCTGTCTAATTGTAGGAAGTTTTACAGACGAAAGAAAAAGCAGCTTTTTGTGCTGCCCAGAGAAGTTTGCCTCCCAAAATGTGAGCTTTCACCTGTTTATTATTGAACATTTTTATGTAAAGTTTTTTTTTACACAAAGATTTTTACAATGAAAACTTGCCCTTCCCCTCTAGCATAATCATCTGCTGCTTTTCTATTTTGACCTATGCACGTACTCTATCAATAGTCACAACTCTTACCTGAAGATCCTGCTTTCACAGTAGAAAATGTACATCTCTTCTGCAGCTGTTTCTCTCAAACCCAGCAGGTACACTCTTGTGATTGTGGCATTGGTGCCTGCTCTGGGAGAAGTATGTTCTCCTAGCAACTCCAGGAATGTTTTCAAACTCCCGAAGAGTGAGAGTTGAAAAAGGATGCTCTTTCTGCAACGCATGATCTGCAGGAAGACTGTGGAGGTGGTCATCACTCCTTGTTTGTCAGGCACAGGTCCAGCCCTTATTTTGGCAACTTTTTCTCACTGAAGTCTTACCTGCACTCACCTGGCTTCCTCGCCACTCTAGGAGCAAATGTTTCCCTTCAGGCTTCCTAGAAATATCTTATTCATCCTTCTGCAGGAAGAAGGGGAAAATTAACGTCCCTTACCACTACCCTCGCACAGCAGAGGGGAGCAGGAAGTATTCTTATCCCTAAACCTGCTGCTCTTCCCGAGGCCCTGGAAAATGAAGTAAAAAAGGTCATATCCATCAGTTAGGAGATGGGTTGTGGGGAGGGGCAAATACCTGTCTGCATGACGCTCACTCTTCCTTGACCCCATAAAGATGAAAACAAAGTAGGTCAGAAGACAACGGATTTAATGACACACATAAACACTCTTAAGAATTACTGACTTCATTCTAACCAGAGGTATATTTGTCTTTCTGTTTTAACGTCTTAACTCTAAGCCTTCACATCTAGTCCTTAGAAAGCATGCGTGTCCTTCTCAGCTGGCATTTTATAAGGTGGCTACTGTGTTTGTGTGTCTACCACACAGTAGGAGCCCCAAGGCTTACCTTTCTGCTGCGTGAATTAGGGAGTGACTTTGATGAGAATGTGCTTAATAGTGGAGGTGGCTCTTTAAAAGTTCCTGGAAATAACAGTGACTCTCTTACTGTAATAGACCTCCAGACACGATTGTGCAATATTAGAGATGAGGGTCGGTAACTCAGTTGTTTCAGTACTTGCTGGCTGGATTTGTGAATAGATTTATTATTTTCACCTTTATTGTCATCTTCACTCATCAGTACACAAATAACTAAGTAAAAAGTTATTCTGGTTTACCCAGATAAAACCAGCACATATTCTGAAGGAAATGCTCACTCAATCTTCACTTCTTGTTAGAAGCCTTGTCTACTAATATAAAAATTGTAGGCTGAATATTTTCAGTTTAAGTTGTGAATTCTGTATTGAATTGTAAATCTGAAATAGTAGCCTTCATGGATAGTCCTTGACAAATACCACTTTTTTCCCTCAGTATTTTCTAGATGGTAGGGAATACATTTTCTCTGTGAGATTGTTTAAAGTAGGTTAGCATCAGCTTTCCTACCTTCCTCTGCAACTAATTTTGAAGCACGATAGTGAATCACTGGATCACTATCGGAGTCACTGATAGTGATTGCAGCAGTGACATTTGCTTTCTCCCTCCTCCTCAAGAGTTCTGGCTGGTCCCGGACATGGCATCAACGTGAATAGTGGCAAGATGTGGGCAGCCTGAGCTTGTGCATTATAGAATCATAGACTAGTTTGGGTTGGAAGGGACCTCTAAAGGTCATCTAGTCCAACCTAATTTTCATTCCCTAATGAAACTTCTGTTGGCACTTAATCTAATGCTAATACTGTCATTTCTGAAAGGATATCTGTGAAACAGAAGAAAACACGCCGCTTGGCAGGAGTGGTGAACAGTGCTTCATACAAGATGTTCTGCACACTTGCTATCAGCTGGACTGCATATAAAAAGCTAATAGCCATGTTTTTCCTTCTCTCTCCAGGAACTTGAACTAGTAGTTTTTTCACACATACTTTGTATGTTTTCTTTTCCCACCCCCTTCCCTTGCACCCTTCATTTCAGATCTAAATGAGTGTGGACTAAAGCCACGGCCGTGCAAACACCGGTGTATGAATACCTACGGCAGCTACAAGTGCTACTGTCTGAACGGCTACATGCTTATGCCAGATGGAACGTGCTCGAGTACGGCAAGGCTTGTTGCTTGCTTTTTTCAAGCTCCTCAAGATCCCTGCTTGGGTTTCCCTGGGAAACTTTTATGAAATGAAGATGAGTCCCAAAGTAAAAGATTAATCTTGCTGGAAATTAGGCAGTTGCGCAAGATGAGCTGCTTTTTTCTAATGAAATTAGGCTTAACAAAACAAGAGCAAATATTTTGATTTTATTAGTTTTATTACAAGTTTCCCCAGAAACATTCTTCAGTGCTGTAAATCACTGTTAATTGGCCTTCAAGGACAAGTGCTTGCAGTTTTCATTGCAGCAAGACACCTGCAGTTCTGCTGTGTTATGTCCTTATGAATGCAAAATCATTAAAGCTGCAGATGTTGGTTGTTTGACTGGTATAAAATTGTACTGTCATCTCTCTGGAGATGAGTTTTCTACTTGCTCCCATAAAAGTGGATATTTGAGTGTCTGGACAAGAGAGAAGGGGGAGAAATTACCTTTAATTAAAGATGCTCCTATTTTAAAATGGCAGTACTGTCCAGGAGGGTTTATAGTACATACTGGGCTTTATATTCCTCATGGGGGCTGCATTCCATGACACAACTTCCTACAATTGTGGTGGTTTTCTTTTTTTTTTTTTTCTTCTTTCTTTTCTTAGGGATGCAATTTGTGGAGAGAAAAAATTTACTGCATATGCATTTGCTCTTTAAAGCCTGAATGGATACCTGTCAAATTCAACAAGCATTTTTCCACTTCTGTCATAATTATATGACAACTTAATTCTCCAAAGTTTTTAGTCATTTTCTGGTACTGACCGGAGTCCTTATCTAAATATGTTCAATTGTTATTCCCTAGATACCCTTTCTTGCTCGATGGCAAACTGTCAGTATGGCTGTGATGTACTGAAAGGGGAAGTACGCTGCCGCTGTCCTTCTCCAGGACTGCAGCTAGGGCCTGATGCCAGGACTTGCATAGGTAGGTGATCAAATGTGGATTTAATTCTTTTTCTGCAAAATGTTTTTATCCTTACGCTGAACGTGGTTCAAGAGAGTTTATCAGATGTATTTAGAATGCATCATACATGGAGTTTAAAGACGTTACTAATGAGAATTGGGATAGGCATGTTGCTCACGTGCTCTGAAGTGGTCTGCGTCAGAGATCACCAGTGTTTCCCTCCAGTCCTGCAATTTTCATTGACTGCTTAAAACTCGCATGGGCTGCTTGGCATCCAAGCCCTCAGCCTGTTACTGGGTCATTTTAAACTATTGCTAATAGAGACTCCAAAATACTTGCCTGCATAAAAAAAGGAATGGGGAGGTCAGCTCTCCCTCATACCCAGCAAGGCGGTGCTCAGGCTCAGGGAGTAGAGAGGTAATTTGTGCAAATCATTGAGATTATACTAGGACAAGGTGAAGGTCTGTGCGCATTCCCAGTATGAGTGGGATTGAAGCCACTGTCTTTCTTCCATACTGCGAAAACTCCAGGTTAAAATAAACTCAGGAATTCAGACTGTATAAAAGTGAGATGTTTTGTTCCCACGTTTGTGAACACGGAAAAGGTGCTTATGGTTAATCAGACTGTATTGTGCCACGCTGTACTATGGTCTGAAGAAAAGTGTGATGTGTGATTTCATTAGTCATTAACTATACATCCTGAGTGGACATGATGCTCCAGTGATTTTATTATTTATATCCTATGCAGTGCTACAGTTCCATAACCAGTAACAATACTTGCACTGAAAGAATGTAAGAGAATGTGGATTCCCTAATTATCCATTTGGGTATTGTGACTGTCCACAGGGGAGGTGGTTCTCCAAGTGGCTGACCCACGCTGACCAAGAATTTGTTGGCAGAGCAAGGGACAGATTCTAGATCTTCTGATGTGAGGAGCAGGCTCAGCTCTAAGTCGGAGGCTTTCTGAAGCGCATGGCTGGCACATCTGTGTATGCAAAAGAATGGGTATAACAGGAGAAAAAAAACCCACCATTGTCACATGCTGAAGAGATTGAATTGTGATTAATCACGCTGTGGACATTACGGCAGACAGAGATCTTTGGAAGAGACTTGTGTCATGCCATAGTGAGCTGTGATTTTTAAGTACAATTTCAAGGAAGTTATACCAAGTACAGAAATTTGATAGAAAAATACTTGCAAGATTCTCCTAGTGTGCATTTTTATATTCAGGTAAACTTCATACTTTGAAATAAACAAAGTGCACTTTTAATGCCAAAGACTAGCGCTCAAACCAGTTATATGAAGCACTTTCAGTTCTTCAGTGTAGTTTTCAAAAAAACACTTTTTTTCCCAGAAAGGTGAAGAACTGTGTACCCTCATTTCAGTTGGGTGTGCATCATTCAGATTAATCTCATAACCTATTTTTAAAATTTTCCACAAAAATTTCAGAGCAGCCTTGTGCAATACAGTGAAAGTAGTCACAGCAAGAGACATCTGTCCTTCATGGGTTATAACATGATCTACTCCCCTTTTTTGGTAAGAAGTGACTGTGACATGCACCCTTTTTGTGTTGTTTCTCTATCAAGTTTGAGTTTTAGTAAAACCAGTAAATACCTCTTAGAATTGAAGCTATTTGAGGCTAGGACTGTGCATTTTCCTCACATGTGTACAAGCCCATCACTGTTGGGGAGGTTATCAGCTCCAGCGAGGGTCTGGATACTGCTGCAGCACAAATAGAAGTGTAGATGATGGTAAAAAAAAAATTGAAGTGTGCATTGGCTGCAGCTCATGAAATCCTTGTTTGAGGAGAGTTTGAAAGACAGCTGGGAATGTAATGCTTATTTTTAGCACAGGTGGAAATTCCTCTAGGCATTATTCTATTCTTAGTTTAACCCATGCTGATCATTCTCTTGTTAAAACGTTCCTTCCAGATAATGAGTATAGAGCCACCAAACAATTTGGCTCCGAAGGTAAATAATATAAACTAAATAACAACAAAGTGAAAAAGAATTCAGCAAAGTATTCAGTGAAAATACAGATTAATTGACTAATTAATTGATTAATGACTCTTGAATCAATAAATGAATCAGTGTTGCCAGCTTTTTGGATAGGGATTTTCATTTAATGAAAATAGCAGTATACACATTTCAGCTTCAGAAGGTCTGAAATTATTTGAGGACTGAAAATAATTATTTTCACTGTAAAATAAATTCTTTCTAATTGTACAGAAACTTGAAAATATGATGACCTTGTAAACTTAAAAATCATACTATTTTAAAATCAATCTCATAGTTGTTTAGTGCTTGAGTTGGCAATATGGTCATACTGACAGCAGGACAGAAGCAAGACTTTGTAATCTCCTTCTCTGTTGAACACTGACCATCACGTGCATTAGGTGCTGTCGTATTATGTGCCTTTGGAGCAGCTCCCTGGCGCTAAGTGTGGGCTTGCACCTCCACGGCAGACCAGGCTGAGAGCAGAATACAAATCACCCCTTCATGCCCTCATTTCCATAGGAAGCAGGCGTGAGCCACAGCATGTTGCAGCAGGCAAAGGGAAACAGCCTTACACCATTTGGGCCCAGGTGTGAATTGGCATGGGTCCATGGACTTGAAGGAAGCCGCCGTCACTGTACTATTTGAGAACTGCAGGAAACTAATCGTAAGCACTTGCATACCAGCTTCTAGCTGGCGATCAAAAAGTGTTTTTCCCACTCATAACGAGCATCCGCCCACCTCTCATATTAAATGCAAGCAGTGGACTGTTACTTTTTTCCCATTATTTTTGTGCCAGTTTTCAGCAGTGTATTGATTAGCAGTTCAGTCCTGTACCTTTAGGATGTATGACTGCCTAGAAAATTAAACGATACCACTACAGTGCTCTCATCATGTAGCATACTTCTTACCTTATGGGAATTTGCAAAAACATGAATACGTACAGAGGGAAAGGCAGGACAAGCTACATTAGGTTTTAAAGAACATAATCCCTGCCATGATGAGGTATATTCAGTGGCGAATCTTTTTCTTACTGAATTGCTTTTTGAAGTTGTGGTTTAAAGATAAAAACAACAACAAAGAACCCCAACTAACTCATAGTAATCAAGAGTCTGAAATTTGCGGCCTTGAAATAATATTTTAATAAAGGCCAGAAAATTGTGTCTTGTAAATTAAATAACGGTAAGGAACATGGTAGAATTTATAAAACTATAAATAATGTACTCAAAGCCTAAAACTTTAATAGTAGATTCAAACCAAGAGGCAGATTTATAGGGAGATTCAGGCATGTGGAGAGGTGCCCAGTATTGGCCTCGTTTTCTTTCTCATTCAGGCCTTTACTGCGGCATTGCAGAAGTGCTCCCGACTGAGAGCTGCTATGTCAGAGCAGTCTGATGGGCCGGGAGTGTTGGGAGCTCAGGGGTTGAATCCTTGCTGTCCTCAGTAATTCTTCATGCAGAGTGGGACAGTGCCAGCAGGAGCTACTGGGACAGCCCATCTAGCCAGTAATTCATGGCTTTAGGTCACTTTTGGCTGTGGGAAACACAGCTTGGAGAATTTGAAGCTACATCTCCCCTGCCTCAGGTAGCTGCCCTAACTAACCCGCATTTTTGTGGTAACGTTTTTACTGAGCTGCGCAAGAGACTCAGGCTTCTCTCTGCCTTGTTCAGACCTCTTTCCAAGCAGGAGGGCATCTATCACTCGGCTTTGTTTTGCACTCTTTGACACCTGCAGCTGAAGTGCTCCTTTTGGGAGAAGAATTGCGTGGAGAGCAAAATCTTGCTTTCCTGATAGAGCTGCAGAACAAAGGCTTGAACTGTGCTCTGTAGATAACCAACAAACGTCAGGAGTGGCGTGCGTCAGAGGCAGCCATGCGTGGCAGGCCTCTACCTCAGTGGAGAATTAGGGTTCAAGCACTCAGCAGGCTTCAGCTGGGTTTCCAGGGGCTACAAAGTGAGTGGTAGCGCAAGCAGCTTTTGTGTATCAGCCTGACCTCATCTGAGAGTTTCCCAGACACCGAAAGCAGCGCTGGGTGAGCGTCGGCTGCTCCCTGGGCCCCTGCCTGGCTTGTTAGTCAGCATGAAGAACAGCATCTTCTGGGAGATGAGGGGCATCAGACACTTACTCAGCATCACCCATGTGTTCCCACTCCTCTGTCCTTGCCAGGATGTCGCTTGCTGAAGCACTGCTTCAGGTCCTGCTGGGAGCCCCTGGCAGGGCAGATGGGAGCCATGTATCTGAGAACCTCAGAGATATTTTAAGGTCACGTAGGTAACCAACCTCTCTGTGGAAGAGGGGTCAGCTACAGCACAGGCACTGCAGGGTAAGATTGCAAAGAGCAGGTGCTCAAAAAGCATTTGGCCTGTGGTAACTAACTGGTAGGAGACCCAGAAATACTGCACCCCTGGCATTAGCTTGACCTCTCTTTGTTTAGAGCAAGTCCTGAACAGATGAAGATTTCCTGGTAGTCTCAATGGGCAGGTCATGGATTAGGGACACCTGAGATGTTAAAAAAACAAACCGATTCCTACTGCAGGGTGATGTACTTTGAATATGCACGTATGACGGCACAGCCAGAAGAAGTGCTCAGGTGTTACTTCTGGCTGACCAGTTTGTAGCCAAAAGGACCTTATCAAAAATCCTTTGGCTATCCTTTAGCTTTTCATGATGTGAAACCAGTTTAATTTAGATAGAAGAGATTGTATTTTAACTGCTATTAAGAATAATACAGTTCCTTTGTTTCCACAGATATTGATGAATGTGCTACTGGGAGAGTTATCTGTCCACGATTTAGGCACTGTGTCAATACTTTTGGAAGCTACATTTGCAGGTGTCATAAAGGCTTTGATCTAATATACATTGGAGGCAAATACCAATGCCATGGTAATAACTTATTTCTTACGTGCATGTAATAGAGCTGCATATTCTAAACTGAAGCTAATGGTTTAAAGAGGAATGTTTGCTTATTATGGCTGAAAATGTTGAAGACAGGGTGTTTTAGGTTGCACTGCATCTGTATTTTAGGAAAGAGGGGATTGTAGAAATAGACTGTGAAAAAGAAAGCATATATTTGGCCCCCATTCTTGTAACTGATAAAATGTGAAAAAGAAAGCATATATTTGGCCCCCATTCTTGTAACTGGTTCTCCTGTGGAAGCTAGTGGGAAAACAGAGCTCATGACCCCAGGAATTCCTTTCCAAAGCCTTTGTCCCCACAGGTTTTACTGTGCACAGGCAGTTGTAGGTTTGGAGCAGCATATGAGCTTCGGCTATGTCTGAGCTGTAACGCAGGTGTGCTCCGTAGCATGTCCCAAGATCCAAGATAAGAAAATGTAGCTGGAGCACATCCCAGCTCCTTCCAACCCAGGCTGCCCAACTTTCCTTCCCCTGAAGACAGGTGGGGAAAAGGCACCCTGGATTGGGAAATAATCTGTCTCCGTCTGGACATGAGACTGGAATGCAGCTGGTGTATGCCCTTCAACAAAGATGTTCCCAGGTCTCACTATCTTAGTTTCCCAGGGCCTCAACTGGTTATGATCCTTTCACTGAAAAAAGGATCATGTGGAGATAATAAGGTGTTGCTTTATGTTTGTTTAAGTATATTTTTTGGAGAGAAATCTCTATGCAGAGCGCTGGAATTTGGAGATTTTTGTTTGCATCACTAACAACAAACATGGAAATGCCATATAAGATGTTTGAAGCAGTTTCTAGTTGATGTAGAAACATCTATACAGATGTATAATAGAGGAAGCATTTTATGAAAAAACAGTTTAATATTTGTGTGATTAAGAACATGCATATTCCTACACTCAGTTTTTCTTATCATGTCACCTTTAAGAAGTGGTTATTAAAATTGTGATCTTCATGATCTTAACTGCAGTCTACCTGCAGTACATCATTGAAACTGATGCTAAGGTATAAGCTGAGCAATACCAGAGTTGCACAATAGTCCCTTTTACCGTGATGTTTGTATCACCGCATTGATTTGTGACTATCTTCCTTTTCCCACTGGCAATTCAGTTTTATTAAATTTTTCAAAATTAATAATATTTTCCTGATGACCATACTACTGTTTGTGTTTTTGCAGGGATAAGCGGAAAGTCATTTCTTTTGATGTAAATGATTTTTTTTTGTTATGTAACTTTGTGTTGCAGATATAGATGAATGTTCCCTTGGCCACCATCAGTGTGGTAGTTTTTCGCGATGTTACAATACACCAGGATCCTACAAATGCAAGTGTAAAGAAGGGTACAGAGACAATGGAACAAACTGCATACGTATGTAATGCTCCTTTTAAAAAAGGAATTCTGAAAGTAAATGTGTCCCATGTTGTAAATTTTGAGATACAGCGCTATCAGGCTCAGTTTCTCTTAACTTTTTTTAGTACTTAATAAGAGGCCAGGGAATGTAGTCAGAGTTTTCTGAGTCTTAGCATGCCTTGGTAAAAATACCTTTCCCTGAGACATTTTCATAATTAGAAAGAATTTCACCTCTCCCCATTCACAGTTTCATTCTAGAGATTGCTTCAGGATGAGAACAACTGAGTAAGCAGGCTAGGTCTGGTCAAACAGTACATATTACTCATACCTGTTATTATGTATGCTCTGCCACTGGCCCATTTCAGCAGCTCACCCCATCCACTCCCCGCTGCTCCCCAGATGTGAGCAGAGCCGAGAGGGAAGATTTCTCTGGAAGAATTCCCTGTTGGAGAATTCCCTTCCTCACCTCTCTCTTGGGAGAAGCAGCCGTCCCCCTTGGTACAGAATAGGCCATTGCAGCTCCCCCACATTTGACATCCCTCAGGACTGTGCAGCTCTATGACATCTGCTGAGCCTTTTCGAGGACGCTGTGTTCGTACTTGGGTTCTGGTCTTTGGTGACTCACTGATCTCTTTAAAGAGCAGTACTATTGCGGACTTGTTTCCTTTGGTGTAGCTGTCATGGTAATGTGATCTGGCTAAGGTGATCTTTCACAACCTGAGTGCTTGCAATTATATCTGGACATGCTTCATGTGTTACTGGGACATAGTCCTAAGGTGCATTTTATATTTTAATATACCATAATTTTAAAAACGCAGGGTATTAAAAAAAATAGTAATAAACAGGCGGCCAGAGAGAAAACCTTTTTACCTGCTACCGTCAAACAATTCATTGTTTAACAAACAGTAGTTCTTCATTTTAACTGTGTTACACTTGAAACACTTGTACACAAAATATGTGACTTCAGTTCTTATTGGGGCTTTTAAGATCTCCAAAAGGCTTATTAACAAACAGAAAATTATAAATAACAAACCAGATGTTCTTGCATTTCACGTCTGCAGAAACTCCCCTTGTGGAACCAAGTTAAAATTTGTTGTCCTTTCTTTATGAAATATTGGGGGAGATGGTACTGTAGGCACTGTCACTGTGGTGTAAGTGGTGCTCAGTTCACTTTCTCCTTTTTGTGGAGGCTAAAAAAATGCCATTTACTTAGTTTCCTGGTGTTTAGCAAAGGTAAAGACCTAAATGAAGGCTACTGGCTTAGGTTCAATCTCTGTAAAATGATTAATGCTTATTGACAAGGAGAAAAGTTTAGAAGAAGTGGAGAGGTCTGAAAGATAACTTTCTTAAGACAAAGGTATATGCCCATCCCTGACCAAAATGGTTGTAACATTGGAGTCTTACTAAACTTGCTTCTGCTCCTGAGTACAAACTTGTCCAGTTTAAAGAGCTGCTTAACACACATCTTCCTGTCCATGCTTTTTTAATAACAGTGCTTTTGGGTAAGTGTTACCACCTCTGAAAGAGAGTTGATGCTTGGGAGGAGGTGGGAATGGAAGTCTCTTGGCCTTCAGTCATTCTAAATCATCTCTAAACTGCTGTAATGAGAAGTACTATCTAAAGGGATGTGATAATTCAGTAGTGCTGATGCTAAAGTATGTTTCTAATTAGTGGAAACATTCAGAAGAAGAGAAGTTATTTCAGCAAAGACTCTCCGTGTCATAATGAAATCTGTTGTTAAGTTTCTGGAGCGAGAGACTCAGATGTCCATTTTGGTCCCATTTTGATTCTCTTTGCAGTTATTTCTAATGTTATGATTGAACCACCTCGTCCATATCATATATTCAAGGGCAACAGCACACTCCCTAAGGGAGGCAGTGGTATAACCAATAGGATTCCTGATGTTGGAGGCACAAGGCAACCCCTCAGACCACCATATGTACCTGCTATTGTTACAGAAAGGCCGGTGACCAGGCCAACAACTCGACCTACACCCGGGCCAACGACTCGTCCTACACCCAGGCCAACAACTCGACTGACACCAAAGCCAACCACTAGGTATGTGCCGGTGACAACAAGGCCAGTAATGAAGCCAGTGACAAGGCCTCCACCACCAACACCACCTCAACCTACAACATTAAGACCTACGCTACCGCCACAAAGAACTCCTCCGATAACGACTGAAGAGCCTTCACATGTTCCCATTGAAACTACATCTTCCCAAGGAGTTACAGATGACAACAGGATCCAGATAGATCCTCAGAAACCCCGAGGAGATGTGTTCAGTGAGTAATTTTACATATCCTTTCATTTATCAGAATTGTAGATGCAGTGAAGTGAAAGCATGTGCTGTACTGTTTGGTTTTTTTGAAACACTATCAGTGAGAAAAAAGACATGAAACTGAAAGTGTTCATATGGTAAAGCTGCACAAATAATTGATTTTATGACCTAACAAAAATGTGGGGAGGAAGTTCTGGATCAATCCAACCAAAAATTTCAGTTTTTCTTCCTGAAATTATTTGTGAGTATATTGTCCTGTATAAGTGCTTAACCTAATTACGCTTTCAGATGAAAGTTTTGGAGAACGAAAGGCATTTTATTGAAAACAGTGACATGCAGCATAACTCATAAATGGTTAATGGATTCAAATTCAGGGAGTTGAGAGTCACTCTTAAACAGCGTATTTCCTTAGCTTTAAGAATGGTAAGAAATGGGACCGTGTCTGATTACCTAAAGACTCTGTTATGTCACCTTATTGTAGGAATTCAAATAGTCTTGGATGTTTATGACTAAGCAATGGCAAAATTGCATAAAAATAACATAGAGCCTAATTTTATGGACTGCATCTATGAAAATGGATACATGAAAAGCTGAAGACAGTAAAGATTCTCATAGCATGAACACATGGCATTTTAAGAGCTGCTCTGAAAGCTACAGCACCATTTCTACACCAGCTTTAGTGCATACCACAGAAGACATTACTGGCACATGCAGAGTTACACGTATCTGCCAAGAAATACTCAACACCTGATTTCATCTTTAGTTCTGCTGCTAATTTTAGAGATGGGGAGGGTGTGCGGGATCAGCCCTTCAGCCTGATGTACAATAAAGCTGCTGAAGCAATGTAGTAGGAGGAAAAGTTTGCTGTCTCAGAGCACGTGTACAAGCAGCAGGGGAATTTTTTTCCAGTCGCTTCGGCATCCGTGTGGTCACTTCTTGGGCTGTGTTCTCTTAGGTCATTACACAGTGAAATATTTTGTTCCTTGTAAAAAACGGTTTGTTTTCCGTGTTGACATTTTATCTGTTGTAGACAGCTTGATAAATTTAAAATGGAAACAAAAGCTAACTTAGAATTTGGGAAGATAAATCCTGGTACTACTCAGAGGAGTGTGCTTTTGGCTTTTTCAAGGTTATTTTTTAAACAATCTATATTCAGTTAAAATATAAAAACATTTTCATGTAAAATTCTAAAAAGAAATACAGTAAAGACTCCCACAACTTAATATAATGGGAACCAATACTTAAAAATACAGAATTCTGTGGAAATTATACTAGACTCTAGCATTGCACTTCCCAGGCTGTCTCGTGTTGCAAGTGTTCTCTGGAATTCTAAAGCAGAGGGATAGTTTCGGCTATTTTCATGAAGTCATAACAATTATCTGTATAAAGCTTATTATTTACAATTAGTCTTTCTGTATTGTCCCTAGGGGCTCAATTTTGAAGCTAATGCTTTCAATACCTATGCTTCAGATCCAGGGGTTTGGAAAGTAGAAAAGTAGAAGTGTTTAAGTTTGTTTTCTGACTGTAAGCTTACATTATGGTATATACAACAAACACAAGAAAAGTTGATCTCTGCTAAGTCTTTATCAACTATTTAGGTCAGCTGCCACCCTTTGAGGTTTGTGATACACATACATAGCTTCAATGGCTTCAGTGCACAATACAGCAGGATTTGAACAGGTCAAGCACCAGCAACTGTTACCGGCTTCAGCAGGTAATACAGGAACGGATAGCTCCTCAGATCAAGTCAGTGTGTCTTGATAGATAGTGTGTCTTTAATCCCATATATCTCTTCTTCTGTACCCTGCTAAAGATATACTTGATATACATATGTGTGTGACGTAACTGTGTGACTGAAGGCAGACACTCCACCTGTGCTCTAGATGGTAGGAATTTGCAGGGTGCTGGTAGTGCAATTCTTAACAAAGTTGGTATTGTCTCCTTTCTGTCTGTCTGTCTTTCTTTCATGACTCCTTTGAAAGTATCATCTAGGTAGTAGTCACTGGTGTCCCCTCCCACCTTCTCCCTGTCCAGAGGCATTTATTTAGTGAGTGCATAAAAGCATTTGTTTAGGATTTGAAAAATGCAGTTGGGTGCAAAATAGTTCTGTTCCAGAAGAATGTGCTACCTTGTCAAGGAAAGCGTTGCTTGTAGAGTAAGGTGTTACTTTACCTACTGAATCCTGTTACTGCAGGAGTTTGTGGGGAAGGGGAGAAGTTACATTTCCTCATGTAGGACATTTAGAAAAGCAGGCAGAAGAGTTATAGCCATGTACATTACTACAATGGGATGTGCAGGGCATGACTCAGCTTGTCCTTGCCTGCTCTGAGACCTGCAATTCTGAGGATAATACAGAGATACTCAATCATCCCCAAATGTCGTCACACCAGGGGTTCAGCAACATGGGAGCATTACTGCCAGGCGCTGAGTGCCTGGGCATTAGCTGGGCTGCAGAACTGGCTGGGTGCCTGCTTTTGGTCAGTGGCAAATGCAAGATAAAGTGCGTTAGCTCAAATGCCTCTCATGTAAGCTTACAGGTGGCATTTGCTGGTTGGGTTAAGCTTCAGGTTCCTGCTGGCATGCTGCAGGCCAGCCCTGCCCCTGCTCCAGGCCCGTGGGAGAGCAGTGCCTCACTCTTAGGCTGCAGCTGCTCTGTGTGAGGCATCACAAGCTCAGGACGGCAGCGCTTCCACCAAGCGTAAGCCAGGGCCTCTCAAAAAGCATTCCTCACAGCCAACCACAATGTTAACAACCACGATGTTAAGACAACACAGAATTTTAAACTGAAATAACTAGTAACGTTTAACATCTGACGTGCTTTCTTATCTGCCACGTGGATGTGCCAGCCCCTCCCACCTCCACAAACATTTGTGGATTTTTCACTTGCTTCTGTATTTCCTCAGGGGAGGGGCTTTTTCAGCTAATTCCTTCAGCTTCTTTAAAACTGTTACTGTTTTAATCTCACCTGCATCAGACATCTTTGCTGTATTCCTGGGTTGTGGATATGAGCTAATTTCATTTGGCTTATACTGAGCCTCTTTAGGTTCATTTTCCCACATCATCGACTTTTCCAGTTGAGGCAGCAAAAAAGCTCGAAAATGAATTTGCACTGTGGTCCCCGTATGCCTGCCTGAAAAGAGAAGAGAAAGCCTCGCTCTTGCCTTCTTTATTTGTTTCCCATAGCAGAATGCAGACAGCAATTCAGTCATCTTATGACACTCATTGTCTTAGAAAACAGAGGAGGAAATTGATGTTAGATTCACTCAGATCATGAAGTAGGACTTAATTTCAGTTTTGTAAAGGGTCCAGAAGAGTTACGGTGTGTTCTCAGATGGCTGCTTCCTCGTGTGTTGCCAAGGGCTGTTGTATCCCGAAGAGTCACAGAAGGTAGTGTTTTGTCACACAAGGACGGGCAAAACCCAGCACAGAGAGCAGTGTAGCTGAAGATCTCAATATTTAAAGTTGTGTTTTTAAACTAGGTTATGTTGTGATGCATGGACTTGTTCATTCCTTTTTTTCCCCCCTCAGGCTCTGAAGCCTTAGCCAGACTTTGACAAAGCAGCATGACAGTAAATTCTGCTTTGCTTAGCCATCTGAATAGGTGGTACTCCTGTTAGGCAATCCATGGCAAAGGCGTAGTTGGTGCGCTGTACACTGATAGATGTCCTAGTGCACTAGACCAAATCATGCAAACATACTGGTAGTCTAGGATTGGTCCAGATCAGGAGAGGAAACATGCCTGGGCAAGTGTACTTGTCTTCTGCAAGCATCTCTCAAATGTTCATTTTTCATTATTTAACCTTTTCCTGAGCTTACCCTTGGTGACTCGTTGCTCCCTATTTTCTGCCTTCGTTGTTGTTTGACCTGCCGTCCCACACACTGAGTAAACTTGTCCTAAGCTTTCAGTTCAGAACACCCTTGAATGTGCTGCTTAGCTTGAAATCAGCTGAGGACCGGTGAAATTGGTCTGTTCAGTGGTGACAGAGCACAAATGGTAATAATCCTGATAACGTTATTTAAATACCTTTGCAATTTTTGAAAGGTATTGGATTGTTGTGTTTCTTTAGATGCTTTACCCCTGTTCTAAAAATGCCTGCCGTGACTTTGGGGAGCTGCTTTTTCAGAGAACAAAAAAATGAGTATTTTTTAAAATGGAATTCCTACACTTGGCCTTTGAACCACTTAGTCAGATGCAGACAGTGGAATCTGGCACCAAGGATAATCTTCTCCTGATATGGATATGGGGGGGTATGGCAATGAGGGAGGAATGCAGCGATGGCTTAATATTTAACTATTTCAGGACTGATACAAACTACAGTGAAGTACAGAGTAATCTTTTCTGGTTACTCAGATGTATAAAGTCTCTAACAACTAGAACGTACTTTTCAATAAGGCTATGAATTTCTGCTGCCATCGGGATCTGGGTGGTAAATATTAAAAACATAAAGACAAAGCATAATACTAGATATCAGCAGAGCAAGAACAAAACCCCTTATCTGTATTAAAAGATAGTTCAGCAGTTTTCCTTCTCAGCCCTTAGTGGAGCTGAAAAGATTGGAATTAGGAGACTTTTCTCATAACAGCTATTAAAAAAAATTAAAGATTGGATTAAAACCCGATTCTTTCTGCTCCCCCTTTCAATGACTGAAAAGTCCTTAGTGCAGTAAATGCAGTTATGTGATCCTTGAAGCTGTTGAAAAAAGGGAAATGCTAAAAGCAAAGAATGTGGGTTTTGTTATTCCTTGATATCATTAGAGTAGCATCATTCTACAACAGCATTTCATTTGTCTTCACTGTTCTGACACCTATTAAAATGTATTTGTCTTAATATTTAAGCATTTAATATAGGCACTTTGTTCCTGTTTGTACTCTGGAGCTAAATCATAAGATCTAGGAGTCTTAGAAAATCACACCCTCTATCAATCTTCCAGCTAGTTTTATCCCCTGGTCTGATATGCAAGCTTCTGTAGACTACTTATTTTAGCTGTGTTTCCCTGAAACTCAGTTGTTGCTCTGCACCTCCTGACTAGCTGCTCATAGAAAAGCAGGGAGGTTACTTTTCAGAAAGTCTTCTGGGAAGATATATAATAAGATGTTTGATTTAGGTCAAAGTTATTGAGCCTTGCCTGAGAAATGCAAGATTGGACTTTCGAGTGGTTGCACGCCAGCACCATCTCTCCCCTGTTATGCAAATGGTACTGTAGAGGGTGGGACAGTCCATGAAAGCCCTTCCTGAAATAATTCTCACTGCAGAATTTGAATTTGCGGAGTTTTAGGCAACATATCCTGGACACTGCGGGTATCCAGATGAAAGGGTGAAGTGTACCTCTCTGTTGCCCCTTCTTTTTAGCCCAGCATATATCAAAGATTTCCCTGGAGGAAAACGGGACGTATTCTTGTTTATGAAGTCTGGCTGACCTCTGGACTACCCTTCCTTTTAGCTATTTTCTACTAGTTCTGGATGAGATCTCATCACTTGTGGGGTTTTTTTGGAAGTGGAATTTAACAACTTTCAATCGTAACTATTCAGTCAAAAAAATCTTTGTCGTTTTTTGTTGTTGTTGTTAACAAATGGGAAGCTTGGTCGTGATTATTGTGTGGAATGGAATTGCATAAGAACGCAGTGTTTGTTGTAAGGCAGAACACTGCATTATTAATAGTAATAATAATTACTAATAACATGAAGCTGCACTCCATGTTTTGTTTTGCTTTTCTAACACTAAAAAAGTGCATTATTCTGTAATTACAAATAACCTGACATATGTACACACCACCTCTTATACTCCCAAACTCAGCAATTAGCAGGTAAATGAAAAAAAAAGTCCTACTGTTTTCCCAAAGGATTAAAAAGCTGAAAAGAAATCAGTCTTATGCAGTTATTAAATGTTCCCCCCCACATTCATGCATCTATGAAGAACTTAGCTCATGAACTTTGAGAATATGGTGCTGTTGATGTATTGGCCCACTCCCAGCTTATAAAATTCTCCAAGAAAAGCCAAGTTTATATTTAACAAGCTTTATCAAACCATTGAAGTTAAGTGAAAAGCACACTGATACGCTATATAAAGTACACAGAAAGGGCTTGGAAAGCTTGCAGAAAATAATTGTGCCAAGTACTTTCTCCCACGATCGCCACTCAACATATTAGTCGTCGTAGCAAAAAGAAGTGTACACATGGATCATATTTAGAGTCCTGCATCTCTCGTTTCATATCAAGTGCACATTCCTCTAATTAGGTCTGAGCACTGAAGTTGACTGGTTTAAAGCTCTGCAACACGTTCTTCTAGAAGTTTGTAACAACAATGTTTAGCGAGGACTTTAGAGAAAAGTTTTGAAGAAATATTTTATTGTAGAGCTTTAATTATAGGCAAATATATCACCTTTAACTTGGAGAATGCTTGTATGTGTGCACAGATGTAACTCAGATGCATTAGAAGTGGTATTTTAGTAAGTAAGCTGAAGTCGTTTGGAAAATAAGTTCCTAATATTTCCTGCAGTATTTTCCATAAACAAGAGCTATGGGGGACTGGGAGTGGGATCGACAGGGCAAGCACATACCTTGAGACTGTCACCCCTGAGTATCCTACAAATCCTAGAGCAGCACGGCAGTGAGTTTCCTCAGTGCTCTCTGCCATAGTGTTCATTCAGAGCCCTGTAACTACCTGTCTGCGAGTCTGTGGTCTGAGCCTTTGATCCCTAAGATAAACTTAATTTAAGGTGCAGGGGAAGAACAGGAAGATATGGAGGTACAGAGTGTTCAGTTCAATGTTAACCTAGATGAGAAGAAGATATGGGCATCCCGTCGATGGTGGGTGCCTGGGGCCCGAGGGTGATGGCACGGTGAGGTTCCTCGCAGGCTCAGGGAGAGGACAGCTTGCTTTTCCGTCTGCTCCCGTGGGCTGGCCTTTTTCCATCCCTGTGCCGTGTGGATGTGGCAGATGTAAAGACACTTCAAGAAAAGGCTGCGTGTCCATTCCAGACTAGCAGCTACAGTACATACGTACGCTGCGCTCAGCAGTTTTGAAGCACATTGCTGACTTGTTCTTCATAGCATAGGAAACGAACAGTATCTTTTTTCCTTAGCACAGTCTGAGAAGAGGAAAGGCAAAGTGATAATCCCTGGGGGTGCAGCATAGATTGTGTCTCGTGCGTGGGGACTGCTGCATTCCACAGGGAGCAGCAGCCTGCAGCGTGGTTGTAATGTGAGGTGAAACTCCACTCTGAGGGCTTATCTAAGGCGAGATTGCTGTCAGAGCGCTGTCCTCCCAGAAATGACAGTAACGAACTTCCAGGATGCTGTTAGTTTAGCAGCCTTTGTAAGTAAATACTCCTGCAAAATTTGCTGTCCCAGGTGGCTGGCCACAGTAAGCCCAAGAAATTGAATTACCAGTTTTAACATCCCCGAGCAAACCCCCTGCAGCTGAACTTAAACGGTGCTGATAGCTGCTGTGTGTACCACAGTGGCGGTGATACAGGCACACATAGACAGTTCGCACACATATCTACTCCGTAAGCTACTGCTCATGGTTCTCCGTGATGTAATGCAGTTAGAGCAGTGTAAGAGTGTCTGTGCTGTTACGCGTCAGAACAGCTTATACCGCCGTAAGCATCTCTGTGCAGGTGTGACTATAGCTGTACAATGTGCTTGTTCAAGTGTCCCGCCTACACATTAGATAGAGCTCTTAGGAAAGACAGCCGTATACTGCTGGGAGGGATTAAGGGTGAACGATGGTTTTAGAGCATGCCTGTTTGGATTTTTTGCTGCCTGAGGTAAACGGATTTTTTTTTTTTCTTTATATAATTGAATATAGTATTTGTGCATAAATGTACTGCAGGGTGATTATGGCCTAGGTGGTGTGGACAGTGCACATTTGTAAGGTTTCCTTCATGTTAAATCTCAAAATTCTAATCACGTAAGCAAACAAACAGATTAAACAAAGCAGCAAAAGGATTATTACAAACAGCGTATCCTTAAAAATTAACAGGCCTTTACTACCCAAGCCAACCTGAAGTCCTTGAGGCTGTTTGAGCATTAACATCCTAGACTGCAAATAGACATAATCCAAAAACTACAAAGGAATAAAAAAAGAAAAAAAAAAAGGAGACGTAATGATTCCAAAAATGACTATAATATTAAGGAGTTAATCAGTTTCCTACAGACTTCAAGCTTTTTATTTATTTATTTTTATTATACAAAATTTCCGTCCAAGATCTGTAGCCTGTGATACTACTTTTAAAATACGTTAGCATTTGGTCGACCTTTTACCAGGCTGCTTATTTTGTCCTAATTCCAAAAAGCAGGAAGCTACTTCATTCTTGTTTCTTGTTTTCCTCTGTCTTCTGGCTTTAGAGGAGCTCTTGCGGCAGTGCTATTTACATGTTGTCCTAGTGCAAAAGAAGTTCCTTCTTACCTTTGATTTGATTTCCTGAAAACAACAGTCCTTTAGTTCAGTTTAGAATTGTAAATCATCTCAATTCTTGTAGTCATGTGCCTAAGAAGCCTTTAGAGACATTAAGATGCTTATTTTAGCATTGCAAATGGAAAACGTGTCAAGTTTTTAATAGATAATGCCCTTACAAATACCGTAGGTGTCAGAGGTGTCTATAACATCTAGGGACGCGTCTGAAACACATTACTACTGTTATTAATTATGCTCTAGACCTGCCTCTAAAAGAGGAATTTCCAAGACAGCTCTACCCAGTGCAATCTGTTTATCTCTAGTTGACAGCTGTCCATCAGGCATGACATCGGTGTGTTATTTCTGGAGACTTACACAGACTGGCAGAGCGTCTTCGGAAGTAAGTGGAAGTCTTTGTAGCCACCTGACTTTGGCAGCCATTGTTCCCACGAAGACCTCTTAAATTTCAGGTTGTCCTGGCTGCTGAATGTCTAATAACCTCTGGGCCCGTTAATCACCGAGAGCGTTCCTTCTCCTTGCAGCTGAGAACAGCAGCTGAAGGACAGACTTTGTTGGAAAGCAGAAGGTAGAATTACAGTTGAATTCCAGCTTCCACTAGAGCTCCTCCTTCTCAGCTCTCAGTACAATCCCGACAATTGTTTAGGGAGCCCTAATCCTTTGCAGACAGATGGATATACCTTCAGCTGTGTTTCAAAGGTTAGGTGCGTGTGGGGCGTCTTCCAAGTACCACTGCCTCCTGTTGAGATGCTCCTGTAAACATCTGTGGAAGGTGAGTGGGTCGGAAAGTTTGAGCAAGGGCTTTAATGCGGCTTTATTTTATTGAGAAACTACTATCTTTTAAAGTGCATTTGGAGGGGAATAGCGTGCTTCAAGGCTAAAGCCTTTTTTCTTCCCCCTCCCCCCGGTTAAAAAGGAGCTTTCATTTGAAGAGCCTTCAGCAGATTTGGAATCACCTTTTACAGTGCTCAGATAAATGTTACAACGTAAGTCATAAATCACACAGGCATAAAGTTTATGGATCTTCATGTCAAATGTAATTAAAGATATTGAATTCTCCAAGAAAAGCACAATGCCCAGAGCTGCTCTGCTGTTTTTTGTTAAAGGTAGTTAGTGACCTACTTCCTTCTCTCATTCATTTCTGAAAAACTACTTTTCTCACAGTTCCACGCCAGCCTGGAGTGAGCAATAATCTGTTTGAAATACTTGAAATTGAAAGAGGGATTACTGCTGATGAATTTGAAGCAAACGATGACCCAGGTAAAGATCACATCTCCTGTTCAGGGCCTAGGGTTTAGGACTTTTTGAGATTTCTTGGGTTTTTATACGTTTTCACAGGACTCCTACACCTTATGCCCCTTGTTTAAACTATGCTTTGTAAAAAGAAAAAAACCCACCACCTAAGTGAACCTTTATAGTTTTATTTCCTAACAGATTTAGCACAAAAATAGTGTGAATTGTTAATAATGACACTAGCATCCTTTTTATTGTTTTAGTATTTTTGTAGATTCTTTTTCTAGTGCCCCTTCTGCTGCATTTAATTTTCATATTTGCTTGCTAGTGTCAGCCACAAGGGAAACTTGCTGTAGTTCCCCAACAAAAACAATCCAAATGACTTGGTTTTTTGGGTTTTTTTGACCTTCTGCTCTGTTCTGCCTAGGTGTGCTGGTACACAGCTGTAATTTTGATAGCGGACTGTGCGGATGGATCAAGGACAAAGATGATGGCTTGCACTGGGAACCAGTGAGAGATGCGTCAGGTAAGACACCTGTGTACGATCGCAGCCTGTAGTTGAAGAACCGCCCAGGCTTGAGGTTGATGACAGTTCTCGCATTGTGATGAATTTACACAGCTTCTGTTCCCTTCAGTTCCGGGATATATTTCGCACTCACACCTCTTCTGTGTATAAAAATTGAAACTGAGGATTCCCAACATGAAAGAGCAGTTGAGAATTTGCACTTTTATCATAGCTGGTATCTTTACAATAGGAATGTCTCTGAAGGAGAAGTAAGTGTATTCAGTAGAAGATTATCTGTCTTAAAAGAATCAGAAAGAACAAAAATGTGGACTAGAGAACAACTTTTATTTATGGTGAAACAAAGCTTATTTTTCAAACAACCACGGAAACATAATTATTTCTGTATTACTAGCAAAATTATAGAAAGTGCTGGAAATAGTCTTTGTTCTGCTGCCAATATAATGTTCTAGTTTAACCTCTCAGTTTGATTTTATTGAATTCCGCTCTAAGTTGCAGCAACCTGTATATAGGAAAACTGTTAAGTAACTGGAAGGAAGGCAAGTTAGGTGCTCATATGCAGAGACTTCTGAAAAGGGGTATCTTTGGGATGGTAAAAAGCAACCTTGCAATGAACATTACAGGGGAGCGCGTACTAGCCACTTGCAGGATAGAAGACTGGCATGGGCACTGGTGGTCAGCCAAAGCAGCAGCTCCCGCCACTCGCACACCTCTGCTGGCGTAGTCCCAGCAGAACTGCACATCTACGCTGCTGGAAGTTAGTTGTGCTTTGTCCCCTGTTGATTTTCGTGTGTGGCACCGAGAGGTTGGCTGTCCTTGCCTGCGTACCCTTCCCCCAGCAGCGCTTGCCCCACAGCGCTGGGGATTAGACACACATCTCTGGCTCCCCGTAATGATGGGATTACTTCATACCCAGAAGAGCAGCCTTTGAAGTGCACAATGCTTACATTGTGTGAGGGGATGGCAGACTTCGGAAGGAAACGCGCTCTCAGGCGGTAAAACATTATAGGTTAAGTCGAGGGAGGGCGAGGGCACCGAGAGCAATTTTCCTTATGCACCACCTCATCATAGATGTCTGTCCCTACACTGCCACTGATGAGACAGTCATTTGCCACCGCAGCGGGTGACCTGGCACCTTTTTCAGTCTGTTTAGCTGGCTAAGTGGAAGTGCTGTCCTCACTTACTGGGCCTCCCCACCCACAGGCATGCTCCTTACAACACTTAAAAAGTCTCATGAATGACTCAGACAGCAGAGCTCCTTCCTCCTGCAGATGAGAAAGCAGGTAGCTGTCTCCTGCTTGCAGACTGGCATTTTAGAAAAGATTACATGTGATTCAAACATCTTTTTGAAACAATGGATTTAAAAATGCTATGATTCTGAGAAAGTAAGTCACTCACTCAAAGCATATTCATTACCTGTACTCAAAAATTGTTAATACATACTGAGTTCCAGAACTATGATTTTTAACTGGCTTTTTGTTTTTTTTTAGACCTTTTTTTTTCCTCCTGTGTCGCTTCCAGTCAGGGATGATCTCAGCTTTCTGTTTCCTGTGTATGTTCTGCTGCTGTTGACATAACCTGTTAAAACTAGTCCCTTGAAGTCACCCACCCCCTCCCTCCTGTCTGGAATACCTTGTTGCAAGGATTTATTTTCACAGCTTGTTCCCGAGTGTTTGCTTTCACCTTTCGAAGTTTGCTATTTATTGGTTTATCAGAATCTGCATTTTGAAAGGTGCCATGCTGAAGCCTTATAAGCTTATCTTGCATGCAGAAAATGCTGATTTGAGGGGACCTTTTCCTGCAGGGGCTTGCCTACAGATAGGTTGGCTTTGTGCTTACCTAAATCTGTTTCCTATTGATTGGATTCAGTCACTGTAACTATCTGAAACAGATGCAGTTAATGAATCAAGTCAGTACTTTTATAGTGATGTAATTGTATTTACAACAAACAGGTGCAGTTATTTAAACTCTATTATGCTTATTTTAGCAGTTAGTGACCTTGATGCAAAAACAATGCATTAAAAAAAAAACAAAACCAAAATACCCCAAAAAACTTCAACAGATGCCTCTTCATGCCCAAATGCAGATCTGGGGCCCCAGACAGCAGCATACTACTTTGCTTCGTTAAATCTCATTGAGACCAAAGAACTTAAAAACCTATGTAGTAGTAGTAAATTGGAGACAAGGTTGGCTTTTAAGTGTGTGACAAGCCCTGGTACATTGTCATTAAATCTCACAGCTTTTGAGGGAAATCATTGTGGCTTTCAAAAAACAAAGCTCTGGTTGAGTAGTAGCAGGGCGACAATTTAAATGAAAAATATTCTTCTATTCTATAATTAAGTAAAAACTGCGTATGTCAACAATATTACAAACCCCCAGTATTTCTACATCATCGGTTTCAACTAAGGAGCCTAAATGCCACCTTTACCTTAAGTTCATTAAACCTGGATTTTTTTGATTAAAAAAAAAATTTAAAAAATCTGATCTCATTAAAAAAGAAAAAGATTCTTAGGGCCAGAGTAAGATTTTTTTTTTTTTAATTTTTGGTTTTTAAAAGTGAACCCTCCTCCCTTTGGTAATTTCAAATTTTAAAGTTACCATCCACCTTACAAAAGTTTTAATGAAAAGTACAAAGAAAAAAATACAGGTGTGGGTTTCCTCCAAAATGTGAAGTCTCATTTATTGTAGTTTTGAGTGCCTATGTGAAAGGGTACGTGGGACTTATGGAAGTATATGCCTTTTTTTTTTTTCTTCTTCTTTTTTTAGGTTTAATGGATGTTGCCATACCTGAGATCCTTTACTTTTCATGTTCTAGGTGTTTTTATGAAGGCACCTTTTCTTCACACGTGATCAGAGATGATAATAGGGTTTTGAATTAAGTATGTATGTTCACTGACAACTTGCTACTGCTAGAGAAGACTTCAGGGAGCGTATCAAGTTCCCAGCCATTTGGAAGTCATTACTGTTTCTAGCTTCCTGTATCTAATCCAGATTAAGACTTTAAATTATGGCTAAATAAAAAGGCTATCCGTGTTTGCAAATGGATACGCTTTGAGACTTGACTTAACCTGTTAACACAGTTCCCAAACAAAAGGAAAGGGACAGAACCGTAGCTCAACTACACGACAACATTTATGCCGGCCTTCTCATTCACCTATCCAATAGCAAAAAACTGCGGCTTATAAGGTGCATAAATGTAGATAGTAGCTTTAATGTCACTGTGGGTTTAAAATCATGAAGTCACCAAGGGGTTGTCAGAAATGGAGGAATACATGAAATTTTCATTTTTAAGAGAGGTATTATTTGCTTTGTAAAAAGAAATTAGATGGGCAAGACCTAACCTGGGACTAGTGTAAACAGAAGACCAGCACTGTAAATCTCACTCTGCAGGAGGCAGACGCATCAGTTCTGGTTCACGTTCCAGCGGCTGCATGCCTTATTTAAGACTCACCGGACCTTATGGAGCCCTTTTTTATTTTTTGATTTTTTAATTACTCTTGTGCATTTGGTCCTGCAACAGACTAGAATTTAAAAAAAACCCAAGAAAACTGCTTTTTCTTTTACAGGGGGACAGTATCTTACCATCTCTGACCCCAAAGGCAAAGAAGGAAGAGTAGCGCATCTTATCCTGCCGTTGGGTCACGTGGCTCAGGCCGGTGACTTGTGCCTGTCGTTTAGGCATAAGGTGGCTGGACTGCATTCTGGTGCCCTCCAAGTCTTTGTAAGGAAAAACGGTGCTCACGGACCAGCCGTCTGGGGAAGAAATGGTGGCCATGGCTGGAGACAGACACACATAACTTTACGAGGACTAGGCATCAAGAGTGTGAGTACCGACGCGTGTGCTGCTTCCGTTTTTTTGCCTGAGAAGCTGAAGACACTTAGATGGTATAGCACTGGGCTGTTTGTCTTCTGGGTCCAATTTCAGCCTGTATTTTACTTCTTTGTTCCCTGCCAACGGAATCACATTAAGGATAAGAGAGTCATTGTGCATTTTGTCCAATTAGTTTTTTGCAAAAGAAGAAAACAAACACCTACAGCAATAGACACATAGGAAACTGCAAAACAGCCTGTACTGAGCTACCTCGCAGAGCCTGTTTTCAGGGAATCACCATGTAGGAAAGAGCAGTCTAATGAACAGTGGCGTACGTACATGGATTTCCAAAAAGCCCGTATCAAGATTCCTCATGAACAATGTAGTGGTCTATACAGTGCCATAAAATAGGAAGAATCATCCCCTGTGGATTAATAACTGGCTAAACCAGGGCAAAGATACTGAAAATAAGTCATTTTTTATAATGTAGGGTCATTACATGTGCAGTCTCACATGGTTTTATGCTCTTCAACATACTTGCAGCTGATCTGGACAAGGAGGTAAACGATGACCTAACTATGCCAATAACACAAAATGGTTTAGCGCAATCAAAAGAAGCTGTCTGAAGTGTCATGGAGAATCTTTTAATACCTGGAAATCTTAGAAACATTGGGTGATAAACTGATATATCAAAAGCTCAGTATTTTTCTTCAACCTCTGCTTAGCTTTGAAGGTAGTTGCTATTTCAGATCTGAAGAAGAGGCTTGGGTGCTTCAGGGCCTGTTTTGCTCTGACTTGTATCAGGTGGTCTAAAAAAAGCTCACACATCATAATGTTCATGGTGGGAGCAGGCTACAACACACATACAGTATATGGTTCTAAAATTAATATTAAGGCTATAATTACTGCAGTTAATTTTCTGAAGACTTTACCTCAGCAGAAGTAACAAAGACGCCTGACCTTCTGTTAGCTGTAAATGAATACCAGGCTGAGAATGCGGAAGTTTATAGCAGGTGAACAATGTATTTGCCCCATTCTTACCCTTTTCCGCCAAGTTTAACGCTTCTCGCAATCCTCAGGTCTGTCTCACCTTACAGGGCAGTTCATTAAATAAGTGTGTATTACTAACATATTGTCTGGCAGAAAAGCAAATGAGTTTTAGAGATGGCAAACAAGACCAGCAGCCCCCCTTTGCAGTATCCCCTGCCCCTCCTGACCGCCTCAGCGGCAGCTGTCAGCGTGGCTCGCCAGCTGTAACCTACCGCTTGGTCCACAGACCAGAGCTGCCTCACGGCACCTTACAGAACGGTCGAGCTTGGGATCTTTTCCAGCCAGCATGGGGAGCCTGGGCTGCTGACCTGAGCCACTGTGACATTTATTCCAAGGATCAGGGAATGAGGGAAAACTCTAGGTAAGCAGGGAAGGCCTCTGCCACAGAGAGATCGGGAAGCTTTATTTTCTAGCTAATTAAAAACCAAAAGCAACTGAACACTAGTGATTTTAGGGGGGCCTATTGGAAACCTGAGGAGAATATGAATGGAGACCAAAATCCTTCATCACACTTTCTAATGAATTAGCTCTGTGTAAATTATTTCCAAAGCACACTCAAAATCACTAATTTCTAAAAAAATAATTCATTTATTCAACATAGAGTTGAATAAAAAATAATTTCTAAATTCTTTTATTTCTAAAAAAATAATTCCGTATATTCAACACAGAGTTTCTCTGACCTCCTCTGTTCCTACTCTTTATTTGAAAGCATGCTTTCAGCAAGCATCCGAATTATTTTTAACTACACAGCTGAATTTCTGATCTATGACTCTGTATTAACTCTTTCCAGCTCAATGATAACAGCAGACTCTTACAAAGTTTTGCTGTAGGCTTCGAATAATTTTTAAGCCATGGTCGAAAACACTGACTGTGTTAAACAGTTCAGGCTTCTGAATCTACAGCAGTAGCACAGGTGAGCAATACTGATTTATGGGAAGTATTTCTTAAAGTCAGCTGGCCGTTCTGTATATTATCTCTGATTTATGCTCCAGTCCTTCTAGTCAAGCTTTATAGTTGTTGAATGTCTCCTACTCAGGCTAAATCTGGACTGCCAATGATCTGCTTAAATCCATGCCCAAAGTTCTGCCGCCATTTTGCGAGGAGCCAGCGCTTCTGTAGATTACCATGAGTCTGCAGGAGCTAGAACGTGTTCAGTACAAGATGGGTGTTTCTAGTTCCCATAACTAAGGCAGCTGCAAGGTGCTTTAGCAATGGAAAGCTCCTCTATTAGACAACATTTTTCAGAATACAGAGGATTTTCTGTGTTTGCCATGAGGGACAATGAAAACGGTGCAGAGATGATACGTGGAAAGCACCCGAGATTCTCTTATGTGGAAGTTCATCTCACCTCAGCAGATGGTGCAGCTGGAGCAACTCTGTCCTGAACTGCTGGTTCTTCACAAAGATCCTGCCAAAGTGAAGAAGGGAGAGGGTCAGAAATGGAAAAACCAGCCATACTTCTGAGCAGAATAAATAGGCTTTTGTGAGTCAGTTATGACTGCCTGAGCTTTCTTACGCTTTTGCTTTCTTACTGTTGCGACCTCTCTCAACCAAAGCTTCTTTCATTTTACTTTATTTTTGCACTCACATTGTTCTGTTTCTCTTCCCAGGTTATCTTCAAAGGGGAGAAAGGGAAAGGAAGAACTGGGGATATTGGACTAGATGACGTGATCTTGAGGAGAGGACGCTGCTCTGAAGAGCATTAGCAAAGACAATGGACCAGCACAGTCATCTCCTCTAGCCCTTCTCGTGCTATTCCTACCAAGCTTTGAAACGGAACTGCACAAAAAAGAAGAAAAAGTTGGAGAGTGACAACTTCCTAGTGGTCTGCTAAGTGCAATCTCACTGAAACTTCACTTAAAACCACGGAGAGCACCTCCCAGGATTCAGGAACTCCAATCCCGTGCTGGTTGTTTCTATTAATCCTTACCCCTAGTTCGTATTTTGTATGTAATAACTTTATCCCCTGTTAAGCCTGGTGAGTGCTCACACAAAGAGCACTTGTGAAAAAGGGAGAAGTAATTACAAATGGTGGCAAAAGAAAGCTCCAGCTCAGAAAGTTTTAGTGTTAACTGATATTCATTATCTTCCCATAGTGCTACTCTTTCATTGATTAGATTTGATAGACAGTGGGATTGATCTACCTTCAGAATCACCTCAGATTAGCGGAAGCCTGGACCTGAACTTTGGCTTACTGCCGTTGACCTTTGAAGAAGGGTTTGCTTCACATTAAATAGCATTTATTTTGGTGTTGCATCTGTATTAACAAAAAGCAGTTATATAGAGTAGGCACTGCATCCTGTAATATTGCTACTGCTGTGTTTTGTGTATATGTGTATGGTTATTAACATATTTATGTTTTTAATATTTACAGACTCTAGTTGCAAGGCAATTGGCAGCTGTGCTTTCTTATTGTGCAAGACAGGAGCTCAGCATATTCTTTGATCCCGCTGGTCGTGCCAATAGATAAGTTACCAAAGTCAGTTAATGGTGCTCATTGAAAAATGCTGGTGCAGTTTTTCATGTCATAATGTGCTGAAGGCAAAAGACCCAACCCTTACCTGATAGAAACTGGCATCCGATAATGCTGTGCAAGTTTGCATTTAGCTTGGGAGCAAGCGCTAAAGGGCTCTCGATCCTGCAAGAAACTCCTGGTTCAGTTGAAGACCGAGCAGCCTGGAGAAGGTAACTTGCATCTTGTAAGATTGAGCCCGTTGACACCACCAGGAATGTTCCCTGCCCACAGGTGGTGCGAGCCTACGCATAAGCCAAAAGGGCAGCTGCATTAATGCTGTATGAACAGTTCAGACCCTGAAATGCCTTGAGTCATCTTTGTCAAATGCCCATATTCCATCCAACTCTTCTGTATATAATAAACAGTTTATTCTTTAGAACTAGAACAACTACTAGCTCTAGCTGGAACTCAATCTTTATCAGAACTTTGGACTAATTTTTTAGTTACGGATCATGCGTGTGATGTGCAGTTTCCCAGGGAATTCTTCTGTTTGGTTTGGGATTTTTTTAAATGAGGAATATCATCATCCTTGCTGCTAACAATTCTAAATTTGACAAAGTAATTGTAACATTTAAGAAAATGACAAAAGATTCATAAAATGTTGTTAGTGGCACAGCCTTAAAGCTTCAAAAACGTATATATAGAAGAATTAGGTCTCAGCTCTTCCCAATACTGAAATGCAATGTAAAATAAATGTCAGCTTCATAACATGTTGTAAAACCATCATTAAAAAAAATTCACGTTAAGCCTTGCACAAAGTCCACAGAGACAAAATTGCAAGACTATGAGAGGTCGTATTCCAAACCCCTGTTTCTGACAAAGTTCTGTTCTGAAACAGTTTTTCCAATTTGGCCCCTAGGACAAAGCACAGCATGTACAGCAGAAGTTGATTTGACCAAACAGGTAGTCTCCTGCAAAACTGTATCAAGAAACATTTTGAAAAGGAAAGAAACAATGCATTTGTAAACATTTTTAAACTATTTTGCTTCAAATATGATCATGATCTTTTTCTCTTACGTTACTTTGTAACATGTAAGAATATTTGTGAATAGTTGAAATACCTTGTCCTTACTTTAAAGTAATCAGTAAAGGAAGCTGTTGTTTGCTACTAATTGGAAATCTTGTTTTCATTCCTGGATTGGAAGTCTTATTTTTATTGCAGTGAAATGCACCAGAAGATGACAATTCGACCAAAGTGAAGTAGCCCTTGCTACCAGATTTAAAAATAAAAGTACATTTCACTGTAATATGACAAGAGCATTGTATGTATTATTCAAAAGGAAGAATGACAATTTTCAACCTAGCTTTTTTTAAGAACAGTTTCACAGGTAATTTAAGAGCTTCTGCAATACAAAATGCCCATTTTAAAAGCGGC